TAGGAACAAGGTAGTCGGCGGCCAACATGCTCCCTTGTATTTCAAGGGATTTGTTCCTAGAAAAATGGAAAATTTGTACTTGCACTTTTGTACAATTATTTGTACCTACTCTAATCCACATGAAGAGCACATTTCGTTGGGTTGTTTTGGCTTTATCAATAAAGCGAGGTGAAGTCCCCCTCGGAAAAAAAAGGCGAAACAAAGTATTTTTGGTATATTATTAGTTTGATCATGAGTACCGAAAACATGTATTAGCGACAACAACAGAGTGCTATCACTAGATTCATCACAAATTTGAATTTTGTAAGATTTTTATCTTAAGCAACATATGATATTTTTGGATGTTGTGTAAATCCCACCATGATTTTTTTTCATGACTGGAAATTTGGGCTTTGTTTGGATAGTGGTGTCAATGCCTGTTTGTCAGTTTTTCTTTAGTCCAGTCAATTCTAGATTTTTTTTAATGTTAATCGATTCATGGACTAGTCAAATATTTTATGTAGCAAGCATTTGACTAAATCAAACATATAAAGGGAAAAAAAGTTGACTGACAAATCATTAGTCTAGAGACTCAATGGTGTGAAGCTGTAAAACTAGCTATCTGTTGATCATGCTAAAATATGTTTTATATATAGAGTTGTGGCAGATAAACAGGACAACTCGATGACATCAAAGAATCTGAAGAAGAAAAAAGGTAGTACTAGTATACATTACAAGGTGCAGAAAATGCACATGTTTTTCCAACTCCGGTACTATTTTCCATGGATATCTCTATTTAAACGGTTGGAACGTCTCCATTTTCATCTGCTACCTCACGTCGATGTCGGTTCTAAATGCGTCGCTAAGATAGGATGGCAACAGATTAAAGTCGATCATGTACAGGAAAGCGAAAGAAACACATGCGTACTGCACTGGGTGTTAGAATTAATGGGCTAGGCCCATAGCAATTTCTGAAATCTCAAAGCCCAGGTGTAAAATGGCAAGTGGTGGTGCTAAGTTTAGTCCCACCTTGGAAGTTGAAGAAGAGTTGGACCTCTTTATATAGTGGGTTCTTTCCACCACTCTAAGTGGTGTGTAAGAAGAGAAAGGGAAAACCACGCGCGCGTGCTCGCTCACCTGGCGGGGCGGGGCAAGGTTTACATGCGACATGCGCGTGAATGGTCCGCCGAAATCCGGTCCGTCTTCTCCGTTTTATTTTTTATGTCTTGGCAGACAAGTTTTTGATTTCTTGTCCGGTAAGTATAGGAATTAGAAACCGAGTCGGTTTGGGATTGTGGTCGCGACACAATACCGCCTCTGGTCCTAATATATATACAGCTACCGGCTGCGGCCATAGACACACCGAAAAACACCTAGGGTTTTGCCTCATCTCACAACTTGCGCCGCCATCGTAGTCTACTCCATCCCAAACGCCGGCGTGCATCGGCGCGTGGGAGAGCAGGTCTCCGGAACCGTTCGTCTTTGCGATCCTGCACCGGAAGAGGACGAATTAGTTTTTTGGGAAACGCTGTGCGCGACTGCTCAAATTCGTCATCACGGGTCATCTTCCGTCCAAGTCGGGCGGTGCTACTCATCGTCGTATTCATCGCCGTCAGCAGCAGATCGTCGCCAACATCGTCATCAACACTGTCGCACCTGTAATAGCTAACGATCAGTACGTCCAACATCCTTTGTTCATGTCTGTTTCTACAGCTATTGTTACGTGCTTGCTGATGTTATGCATGTCTTGCTGTTCTTCTAGTTTGCTAGATTATTGCATGCTAGTATCTCTTCTAGTCATGAATTATTTACTGGAATTAATCATGAACTTGCCTAATATTCCAACAATCCAAAAACCTAATTATAGGCAATTTCCTGAGTTAACTATGGCTGGATTCGCTGATGCACTAAGGCCGGATAAGTTTACCAGTGTGCACTTTAAGAGGTGGCAGGTGAAGACCACGCTCTGGCTTACTGCTCTGAAAGTTTTCCACGCTAGTGTTGGTGCTCCAGAGGGAATGACCGACGAAGATCGGAGAAAATTCCAGGAAGCCAATACTATGTTTGTGGGATGCATTCTGAGTGTTCTTGCTGACCGTCTGTGTGATGTGTACATGCACATAAACGACGGAAAAATTCTGTGGGATGCACTGAATGCAAAATTCAGTGCAACAGATGCAGGCAGTGAACTGTACATCATGGAGAGTTTTCATGACTACAAGATGGTGAATAACCGTTCTGTGGTTGAACAAGCTCATGAGATACAGTGCATTGTGAAGGAACTTGAACTCCTTAAATGTGTTCTACCCGAAAAATTCGTGGCTGGGTGCATGATTGCAAAGTTGCCTCCTTCATGGAGGAATTTCGCCACAACTCTGAAGCATAAGAGACAGGAGATATCAGTTGAAAATCTGATTGCATCTCTTGATGTTGAAGAAAAAGCTCGGGCTAAAGATACCACTGAAAAAGGAGATGAGGTTCAGCCTACTGCTAACATGGTGCAGAGGTACCCACAGAACAAGAACAAAGGGAAGAACAAACTTGTTTCCAACAAGCCTACCAAGACTACTACCTTCAAGAAGAAGAAGTTCAACAAGGCTGAGCTAGAGTGCTACACATGTGGGAAGCCTGGACACTTTTCCAAGGAATGCCCTGAACGTGCAGACCACAGAGGGAAAACAAGCTCCAAGACTGTCAACATGGTGACCGCTAGCAATACTGATGGGTATGGTAATTTGCCTATTGTGCTTTCAGTATTTCAATCATCTTCGTGGTGGATTGATTCGGGTGCTAACGTTCATGTGTGTGCTGACATCTCCCTGTTTACTTCTTATCAGGTCGCAAGGGATTCTTCCGTCCTAATGAGGAATGGGTCACATGCTTCTGTTCGTGGCATTGGCACGGTGGATCTGAAGTTCACTTCGGGAAAGATCGTGCAACTAAGGAACGTGCAGCATGTCCCTACTATGAACAAGAATCTAGTTAGCGGCTCCCTTCTATGTCGAGATGGTTTTAAGGTAGTTTTAGAGTCCAATAAAGTAATCGTGTCAAGATTTGGACAATTTATAGGAAAAGGCTATGAGTGCGGAGGCTTGTTCCGTTTTTCTCTTTCAGATTTTTATAATAAGTCAATAAACCAAATTTGTGCTAGTGTTAATGATGATGCAAGTATTTGGCACTCTCGTTTATGTCATATTAATTTTGGTTTAATGTCTCGGCTATCCAGCATGAGTTTAATTCCGAACTTCATAGTTGCCAAAGGTTCTAAGTGCCATAGTTGTGTGCAATCTAAGCAACCTCGAAAGCCTCATAAGGCTGCCGAGGAGAGAAACTTGGCACCTCTAGAACTCATACATTCTGATCTTTGTGAGATGAATGGTGTGTTGACAAAA